AAAGGTCCTCTCGCAAAGTGAAGACGAGTCTCGCGAATCGACGGAGTCAGTGTTCAACGCCTTGGAAAATTTTTCAAGCTTCGGAGTCTTCAAATATCCGCTATTCGGTGGTACGTGTGAGTGCCAGGAATATCCATTTGCGTAGATCCTCCGTCGATAAGGTTCAAATTTTGTTTTTACTTCAGCTATCTACACGTTGAGTTATAACTTCCAGACGTTAGCTGAATTTTAGGCCAGATGTTCTCAATCTTTTTAATAACGGAACCATAACTTTCGCATGCACTTCATTAATGAAGTCGGCGCTAAAATTCGAACCATTTCCGCACTGTACCTTCAAATTCATTGACAATTAAAAAAATAAGTATGAATTCCTTTGATTGCGGACATGGCAGACTTGGTCCACGTTTGAAATCTTGAAATTTAATCTGTTCCCATGTTTATCTTGTATTTCCATGGAGTGACTGGTTAGACCCGGAAAGTTTAGCCACAGCATGATTGAGAACCTTTGCCCCTAGGAATAAAGAGCAAATTTGGAAATTCTTCTGGGGCAGTTATTCATAGCGAATAATTTAGCAATGATGAAATTCGGGGTGGTGTTCTGACCAAGATCCGTCAAACAGGCAACATGACGCGAACAAGTGGTTAATTCTACGATTAAATTTTTTGGCGGGGATAATTCAGTTTTATTTCGAAGAATTTTATTTCGGATATTATTTAAAGAAAAGTGAAGTTACCCTTCATTAACTTTGAATGTTGAAATCTGATTTTAAATTTGTCGACGAATGAAATCAGAGTAGGAGTTATATTTGAACTTTAACTAGTGGAACTGGGCCAATACTTCGAGAGGGACGATTCAGATGAATTTGGAAGATATGAGTAATTATGGAGGGCTTAATTACCTGATAAATTACTTCATATAACTCTAAAATCTTCTTCCATCCATAATGGATTAATTCCTTGGACGTGGCGCACTGGTGCATGAGCGGCTTTTTTGATAGGAATATTCCCTAGTGCTCCATGGCCGTGAAACCAGTCACTTCTTTCTCATGCACATGGTGATATTGAATTTTCTACATCGGAAATGATCAGTTAGACCAACTTCGGCCGCAGTCGATCAGAAATCGCTGAAGTCTGGAAAGTTTGAATGAGTGATTCGGTATGTACCAACTTGTGTACGCAAATATTTATTTTAAAATCTCTCAAGTTAATTAATTTGGGTATGTTCTCAACACCGTGGGATTTTTCAGATATTTTTCTCCTATTAAGTTCGCCTCGATTACTGTATAGCTAAAGCTCCCTCCGTGTGCCAAATTTTAAAACATAATTTTTCATATGAGTACAAGGGTTGTTTCAGCATATTACCAAATGAATCAATTCAATTTTTTCTTAGAAAATTATGATTTTATCTTTATTTTCATTGACAGACAATTCAGTGCTGGGAGCAACCTACTTTATCCCCCTCGCTGACGTCTAAACATTTTTCATACAATAAATCCAACAATTTATAAATATATTAAAATTGCGGCATTCAACGATTTTAGCATGCTTTCACAATATTTTCGCGCGCCATATTTGTCCCATCATGATTTCCAAACCGTTTCGGGTTCTTTCTCGCGATTTGACACAAGTCATCCTTATTTTTCAAGTTGGAAAATATTTTTTCTATTCCAGCCTTCAACTTCTTGCTCGCCTTTGAAAGTGTTATAGTGCCCTTTATTCTGAACAACACAGAAATTTAGATCTCTATTTTAAAATAAAATATCTAGAGTCGGAACGATTTAGTTCACAGCATCATCCCAACGATGATTTTCATTGGTTGAAGACAGGAATTTTTTCTAAGATCACTAAAAATTCGTCCCGCAGTGAAGATACTTTCAGTTTTTGAAGTGGCCGGAAGAGACACGTGTTGAGTTTTTTTCTATTTTCGGTTTAGACTTGAGTCAGCGGAAGATTTCCATGTTGTGAAAAAGGATTGATAAATAAAACTAAAAAATTCCGCTCTCTCCGTGAACAAGTACTACCACAGCAAAACGTCTTGGACAATGCCTAGCTGTGGACTGCAGTGGCCTTGCTTTTTCACACCCGAACCTAAATTAGTGACAGGCAGGATATACAAATTTTCCAAGTCGATCTCGGGTGTTTTCTTGCGTCTGAAACGTGGTGAACGGCTTGATATTTCAGTTGAATTTCCGCGCTTATCCTCCAAATATGTATACACCCCCCATAAAGCGTCTCTGCACAAGTTAATTTCCGGTCCTCGGCTTTGTCCCCGTGAGATCCTCCTTTGAATCTCGCCGAAGTCATCTGATAGTCTCTCCCGGATGACGCGAGGTTCTTGTCTTCTTCTACCAAAGTACTTCGCACCGCGATTAACATTTCGTTTCCGCGCCGAAGTCAAGCCCATTACGTCACATCTGGCTGAGTACCGACGTTCACGTTCTTCCATAAATTTTCGTCGCGCTGCACAGTAATATGTATGCGTCTGGTACTTGAGTGCCATGCGGAATTCGTTCCGTTTCTGGGATTTATTAGCGGAAGGTGGTTTATTTTTCCTCGCGGCGTAAACTTGTTCTCGGTACGTACTTCCACGGTCAAAGAACCGATGTTACTTGTTTTCCTGTCGCCAATAACGCGTCAGCTTTCGATGACACATACTTCCCGAAAGTGTGTGCATTTATATAGTCCGCTTTTCATTCCCAAGTTTTCTTCTGAAGGAAACCTATCCATCAAATGGCTGTATCGTCAATAATTTTTTGAAAGACGTGTTTAATTCGCTGTTGATTATCATTTCGCTGAATTATTTTCAAGGAATCTGCAAAGCAATTGTATTTCAATTTTCATAATGAAATTACGGGAGTATCTGACACCCCTCTAAACTTGTCCAATGGTTTATTTTCCGTGCTGGTGTCAAAAATAAGACTAAGTGATCCCAGGTGTTTTAAATATCCGATTACCTGTATTTTATATCTCATTGCGTTTTGAAACACGTTGAAAATCTTAAAATTTCGCTTTTTCCACGATAAGAGCGCGCTGAACGCGAAAAGCAGCATTTTGTCATTATCCGAGCCATTATTTTGCTCTCCATCATTCTGCTAGACAACCGGTGGGAATGAAAATAAAAATAAAAAAGAGTTAGACAACCAAGGAGCATCACTCTGAAGATTGAAAATTTTCTGGCTGGCTGGTTGGGAATAATTTATAGTCGGGTGAAACTAGGGCAACCCTCAAACGCGTATCTTTTGCATATGTCACGTTCTTGAAATGAAACGGCCGCCTCTCTGATTTTTCCACACAATAATTTAAAACTGCGCCCTCCTGAATGGGACGGGCGAGGTTTTCTTTTTAATATGCAATGTATTACATGTACAGTACTTCAAATTGGCGAGTTTCCCAAACTGAAATTTGCTATTAACTTAGAAAAGAATCGTCCGATCCAGAAGAGTTGGAACTGGTTCGCCGAGACGCCAGACGTTTTTAAAAATGTGGAGCATATCGCACCAGGAGCTTCCATTAATATTTGCATGGGATAACCGACGAGAAAGCAGCTTCGAATTCCTTCCTAATGGTTCGAATGTGTTATTCTTGGATCCTCGCGCCCATTCTCGAAACAGAATATCACAGCATTCCAAGCACTCTGCGATTTTTCCCTCCCTCACAACCCATTCAAGTCTGGATGGCGTCAAAAAATGAGATTCTGGGAACCAGTCCTTGCATGCGGCTCTCAACAGCGTCACTCGGAACGGCATTGTTTATCTTGCATGGCGTGAGATTACATGCTGTACTGTAGTTGCTGGCTAGTAAATCAAAGGGGTAGACATACCAACAGATTTTTGAAATCTCTGATAAATGGTTCGTGAGCTCCAAGACCAGTATTAAGGTGGGAGTTACAAGATGCAGATATTTTCCCGAAATGCGGATATGCGGGATTTTCGTGGATTTTCGTGCACGTGTTAGAAATCAGTGCTTTCGTGGGCCGTGAATGGATTCTCCGTTTTATTCTTCCCAGAGAACCCGTGGTAACTCGATCAGTTCTCGTTCAATCGGCTGGCACACACGTAAAACAGCTTTGTCGACTCCGTAAATTATTTGGTGAACGAACCAGGAGCGGGTACATGCCACGCTGTTGACGAGGTGCCGTGTCACGATTTTTTTCGAGTTCGCACTTCGCTTCGGTTCTTTTTTTGTGCTGTCCTTGATGCTGCTTGTTCTTCGCAGTTAATCGCTGTCTGCTTGTGCGAGCGGTTACCACCGTGCGACGCACAGCTGATAATGCTTGAACGGGGACGACGCAACCCTCGAAACTGTGACAGTTCACGTACAACCAAATGTAGTTAGATTTTGACGAGCTGGGAATATTTAAAATTCCAGTTATTGTCGCGAAGTTTCCAGAAATCTGCGATTGTATGTGTTTTAGGAATTCAGTGGAGTGTACCCATAATGTCTTCCCCCGTTATTTTCGGGAATGCGAGGGAGTCGTTCGTGATATGATCATGTTTTGTATGCGACCGGATTTTTTCCATCGCTTAAACTCGCGAAGTGATGCGTGAAATACATTTTGAGTGAAGGAACTATTTATGAAATCAATTCAATGACGGACCCTTCGAGGCATACAAGTCTTGCGAGTAAATGGCTTCCCGATTGAAAACTACCCCGCCTTCGAGTTAAGAACGTGGTTTTCCCTGTTCAATTTTATTCATGCATCAGCATAGAATTCAATTACGCTCAACTTTTCTTGCTTAAATTTTCTTGCAGCAGCCGCGAAGTTGATACGGCAGTGAAGCTGGAGCCCTTGGGGCTTTGGTACAGTATGATGGAATCATTATGTCGCGGACTGCAGAAATGATGAGTGCAGTAATTTAAACCCAGTGTCAAGTGTGACTTGTGGTTGCTCGTCGGTAGTCGCGCATGTGCACATTTGAGGTTATTTCGCGTTTGGTTGAGCTCGAAGTGTGTGAAGATTTTTTCGAGGGCGAGTCAAATCTAAGCATGACTCTGAGATTAATCATTTTATTTATTTTTGCAGTTTTCTGTGATTTCTGGAAGATAAGTGTTTTAGCCCGATAAGAGTGGTCATGGTGTCAGAGTGTGAAACGATTGATTTGCACATGGCGATTCAAAATCGTGACGTGGAGAAAGTCAAACAGTTATTGGCGACTGGTGAAGATCCAAATCAGCCTGATTATCGACGAAATGCAGAAATTCCGCTGTTGGAAGCTGCGGAAACCGGTGATGTTGACCTCGTGATTGCCATGATTGAAGGCGGATGTGATACAAACGTACGAAATTGGCAAGGAGAAACTGCGTTGCACTTCGTCACTCGTCAGCGACATCCCAATGTTGAAATTCTCAAGGTTTTGCTCTACGTAAGTTGTTTACTTTCAACGGCAGTAAAAAAAAGAGCCTTTTGCAAAGGTTTTTTTCTCAAAAGTTTCACTTTTTTGTGATGCACACATTTTACGTGCATGGTCTCAAGAAGCTTCCATGTCGCTTACATTTCACGAGCAACGGATGAGTCGAAGGATGATGTAGCGTATTTTGCACCATTTTCTCTACTTTTCCAATATTTCATAATTCTTTAAATGGGGAAAATTATCAGTTTTCCCCATTTAAAGACCGCATTTTCGCCGCCATTTCTTGCCTCCACGTGCTTTCTCCGATCGTAATGTAGTATCTAGGTTTTTGATCCCTTGAATACGTACTTTTGACTCGCAGGCAGAGGCTGATCAGTCATTGACAGACAACGTTTCCGGCTGGAGCCCGTTGCATCACACACTCAAGCATTTTTCAGCCTCAAAAACAAAAGAAGAACTGTCGAATTTGAAACAATGTGTGGATTTAATTGCGTGTGCCAAGAACGTTAATAAGAAGACGAAACGGAGTCAGACGGCGCTACATCTTGTCGCCTTGTCCGGGATCGACGATACGGAACTCATCGAAAGCCTCCTGCGTGTCGGTGCTCAGCCGAATGTCTTCGATGATGAAGGCGCCTCGCCACTTATGCTGGCGACTGAACGGAATTGTCCTCGTCTTGTTAGACTTCTACTACAAAACGGAGCAAATCCAGAGGCTACCAACAGGTATGGAAAGTTGCGCAAAACTAACTGCCCTCATTTTCAATTTGGCGTAACTGAATAGTTTTAAAAGCAAGACATTTTTCTTCTAATCCTCGGCATAATTCGGTGTGCAGTTTAGGCTTTGGACCACACTGCTGTCTCCAATGGGTCGCCTATATTATATTGCAGATAATTTGATGAGGCAAAGGGGTTCGACACATGTACAGAAAACATTTATGTACATAAAAATAACTACAGTAGCTGCAAACCGAAAACAACTGCCATCTTGGTGCTAAATTGCTGCTGAAAATGGAGCAAATTCAGAGGCCACCAATCAGTTCGAAAAATTTAGCTAAACTCATTTCAGAGACTGAAATGACTCAGAACTTGACCTCGGTGAGGGAGATAAAAATGCTGCTGCAAATGTTCAGTATAAGCTTGGCACAATCTGATAATCTGCTAAAACCGTAAGCGCGTCGTTACAAAACGAGTCAAACAAAATCATATGTGTATCTCATCCTCGAAAGGTCTCTCAATTTTCTTTTGTTTTCACCAGGCTTTAACTTGCAACCATATCTTGCAATCCCTTATTTTTTTTGGACGTTTTTTTTTCTTCGCTGGAATGAGTTGATTTTCCAAGCAGGGTGCAGGCCACATTTTCTTCCCGAATTGCACATTGTTCAGTCAATATATTTTTTCTCTTTAAATCAGGGGCGATTTATAATTTCCCGAATGCCGGCATCCACGATAATGCATTTCCAGATTTTCTAGTAAAATCGAAAGAATTAATTTTCGGATTCGGTCCAGTAGTTCAGACATTGGGGTAACAGAAATTATTTGACATGGCACTGGGAAAGCAAAGCAAGATTAAATAGTATCTTCGGCTCTGAAATACGTCTCATTAAAATTCAGCTCAATCATTCATTACAAAATGTATCAACATTATTTTTAGATTTTCTTCGCCCTACAGAAGCTTTGCTGTATTAACAAGGAACGTTTTTCATTGGCCTCGAAAGGGATTTTTCTTGACGAAAGTACTTTCTTTCAGATATATTAATGTCCTTTTCTCCTACACTTTCGTGAGACTTCTGGTTCGTAGGCTGACTGGGACGTTGTTATCGTCTTATGTGAAAAGCGTCCGATAAGAGAGGGAGAGAGGTTTTAAAAATTGCCACGTTCATTTTTATTCAGGTACAAAGAAACGGCGCTACACGTTGCCGCGAGACGAAATTTAGTTACCGTAGCTGAAGAACTGTTGAAAGCGGATCAAGGGAAGATGATCAATGCGGAAGATTTGGACGGTTGCACTGCGCTGCACCTGGCCGCAGGCAGAGGTTACCGGGAAATGTTGACGTTGCTGTTGCGAGCCCCTCACGTCGACGTGAATGCCGTCAACGACAACGGTTACACCGCTTTGCATATCGCTGTCGAAAGCGGATTCACAAACGTTGTCACTGTGAGTACTCGGACGAAGGAACGGAAAATTTAGACCAAGCATGCTCTCTTTCCCATCGTACTGCTCGCCTTCCTTAATCTTGATTCTTGAGTTTCTCCATTATCGTGGGTGTATCGGTTGACTCTTTTCTGCTCTCGTCGTCGATTTCTTAGTTTTACCTTTCCGAAGACAGGCTAGTGTCCATTTACCACCTCCTGAATGTCTGTATTGAACAGAGCTTCCTATCGCCGTAGTACCATTCCAAGGAGACATTTTTGAAGAGGACCTTCAGAGAATCAATTGATCTGTTCAACACATAAATAGGCTGTATTCTTCGATTGCAACAAATCGGGTGGATCACAAACCGTATTACAGATGCAGTATTCGAGTATCTGTATAAGGCTGCACTGTCGTCTTGTAAGCTATGAAGCGTCCGACACTCGAGATTATACTTATTATTCGAATTCAAAGTCATATTCAAGCCTGGTTTCATAAAATTTACTTCACCACCGAAGGCGTGGTGAAGTAAAAGTCTCAATTTTCCCTTGTGACCTTGAAATAATCCAGGGGTGGTACAATATTTCCCACTTTTTATGAACTGACCCGAAAATTAAAATTTCTCAAGTTCCGAGAAAATACCGTACTGTATTCTTTAAAATGAAAAATACGTCGCTTCAACAAAAAAAGAAAACAACTACGTAAGCAAGAATTTGTTATAGCGCGATTCTGCCAAACGATAGTTAGCTTGTCCATATACATCATGTCCTCTATTGAAAAGCTAAATTACTGTACCATACAATTTCGCCCATGAATCGCGTCTCAAGAGCAGGAGGCAGTTTATCGGCACACGGGGCTTATACCTGCGTGGATGTAGTTTAAAATGGGGTTTTTTCTTCACTCCCCAGCTACTCGTTAATGTGAAGGAATGTGACGTGCGTCGGCTGACGAAGCGTCGATTGAGTGCCATGGATCTGGCGAATTCGAGCACGAGACAATATTCCTCGCCGACTGTGAGTGAAGTTCTGAACAACGCTTTGGAAACGTCTAGCGGTACTGTTTCCTTGGCTGACTCCATTGAAGAAGTGTCGGATCCAGGTTGGCTTCCCTCAAGTCAGGACTTGATTCAAAATCAGTGATTCGATACCTCGCTTATTCATCATCTGCATCGCCATTTCCTCCACTGCGATCGAATTTGTCGTATGCTTCCGCGAACAGGATGGATGTGATCAACTTTCTCCGAACCGAGTGAGGCCCAACAATTTCTGCCATTTCACATGAAGTGCGGAATAGATGCATATTTAGTGAGATGAAGTGGCCATTTGTTTGACCGTGACGACGCACAATGATTTTTATTGGTAGATGTTGACTGTGTGCGAGATGAAATGCAAGTTTGTTTGTTTACGCAGAAGCGAAAAGTTTTGCGGTAATTGCGTATTCGAGCTAGTGCGTACGACTTCGGGATCCAACCCATTTCCATTGATTTCCAACAGTCAGCTAAACACTAAGCTATACAGAAGTGCTGGTAAAAATTTTTGACAGTACCACAATGTCAAATTCTTGTAATGGTTGAATCTGGTTCATGAGCCGCCAACCTTCGGTATAAGATCGAAAACAATATTTAAAGCAAGAATCCTCTCATCTAATTTGGGATCCTTTTTGTGTGTGAATCGCAGTCGTGACTTGGAAGACTCTTTCCTCATAAAATAAAATTTCAGAGTAATCCTCCCCTTCCAGTGTAATCCACTTTTCAAGATCAAAACACTTTTTCTTGAGAACAAAGGTGTGAAACCAAAGAATTTTTCGCTGAAATGACAATTTTATTCAAAAGAATATGCTCGTGTTAGAATGGCCTAAAAATTCATAAAACAGACAAGCGTGGGACGTAAGCCGTATTTTTGCAGAGGAATTCAGTGCTCCTTGGAATATCGGTTCTCTATATTTCATCATGGACGAGTGAAAATTGGGGTGACGGTCTGAGAATAATCAAATCTTATTCTGTGAGTATTGAGAATATATCGAACAACGAGAGCCGGACATGGACACTGCTGTAGCCTTTCTCGTAGTATTTCCGTTTTTGTTATCGTTGTTGCTTTTTCTTTTCATAGAAGCTATGCCTACGTGGCATTTTTCTAAGAATCTTTTGGGGCTTGTGAAGATGAGCTAGAAATTTCAGCATTCGCCTGCAAAGGAGAAATAGATATATTTTCTGGGACACAAGAAAATATTATTCACATAAATTGTGGTGAAATCATTGAAGTATTCTTGCTTTTTGATTGCATCTTGATCTTGGGAATGAAGATTTTATTCGTTTTAGCATTGGAATTTCTTTTGAATTTTTCAAATTGGAATACAGTACTTCTCCCAGTGACCCGCAATCACAGTACAAGTACCGTATGACCTTGATGACCTGGGCGATCACCCGGATTATCTACAGTATTTGATGATCTGAGAATTAAAATAATTTTAGACTATTAAAAATGAATAATTCAACAGTCAACATGGCCTAACGTTATTCTCAAGAAAGTGTAATTACCAGCTGAATCTCACTTCGAATATACCATGCAATTACTAGTGTCTTTATCTCTCTGAAATGTCTTGGTACTTTTTACTGTACTAGTATTCCACGTAATTTATCATTTCCGTTTTGCTGATCACGTTGATTTTCCTTTTACAAGAAATTCTGCATCAAATAGAGTTCGATCTTATCGAAGAAATCACCTGAATCAAAACTATACAAGGCACTTTACCTTCAACTTCAGTCACGAATAATCGAAGCCATAATCGTCGAGATGCACTGCATCAGGTGTTGCATTACTTATGGTTTGGAACCTGCTTTCAACTAAATTAATGAAATCTCAGTTGTTTATGGGATAATTTCTGTCACGAAGAGAGGTAAATATTGTTCGTTCAAACGGCTTATTGGTTATTCCAGGAAGTTAAAGGTCGGCTTTCTTGGAGATCATGTCTATAGGCACTAGGTATACCATAACTCAGTTTTTATTCTGAGTGACCATAGAGAAGTGGTCAAAATTACGCTTAGTGCTCTTTCGTTTAATCATTCGCCTGACTGGCAGTTGATAAGCGAACACATTCTGAGAACTTTCGAGATTTTTTTCCCTCTGAACAGTCGGTTTCCGACTGAATTTTCGAGATAAGCTGTCGACTTACCACAAGTTGCTTCGAAACTTTGCTCGGATAGCAGCTCCATCCATTTTTAACGAGCTCCGAGGCAGTTTCTGTGGTACGCATCATCATTGCAGCACATCAGACTCCGTTCAGTTACTATGTGTGCCGCATACGGTGACTTTCGATGCTGGGCATTTTGTCAAGAAGTGATTCCCTGCTGGATACATGTATCGAAAAAAAAGCTTGAGCTTTTTCCTTGCTTTCACCCTTATTGATGTCGGTTTACTTTTCAAATCACGGAGTGCCATGTAAGGTTTAAGAAGTGTGGAATGAGAATGGGTCAATTACTGTCCCTAGTTATTTCGAAGTGCTTGTTAAAGTGTTAGTTTTTCGAAAGTCGTGACTGTGGGTTCGAAGAAGGAACGAAGGAATGTTTAGAACTTGAATATGTTGGCAATGTGCAATGAGTTCCCGCTGCTAAGCTGGAGCTCGCACTTCCTTTGCGGAAGTATCTTGGAGACACGTGCCAATCATAAATAATTTGGTAATTCGCCTCTGGCTTTGCGCAGGAAAATACCGATTTGACCGTAATTTATTGACGGAAATGTCAAAGGTCATCCAGAATTCCGTATGAGGAACAACTTTACGACGCATTTTGTACTTCTGTTTTGTAGAAAATCTGTATTCCGCGAGATCGTCCCATCTTCTGCGAAGTTTTCTCGTTTCAATTCCTCCTTGATCTCAGTTACGCAAAAGCGCAAAACTGCACGTTTCTATTGTTTATCTGGTCGGCAATGGATCTCCTTATAATAATTCTCTCAAATAATTGCCGGCATATAGAGCTCTCATTCTGAATGCAAAAAAAAATTATCGATTTTCTCATGAAAAACCCTCCTGGACGGATTTCTCAGGTAGCTGGAGTAGGAAGTGATTGAATGAATATTGTAAGATCATAAAAGTTTGGCTATAGAAGGAAGCTTAGCATAACCTCGATTATTTTCATTTTCACATCATCGAGCAAATTTCACAGTGAACACAACTAACGCAAAAAATTCACAAATGTTAGTATGCCTCGTATGCAGTTGAAAAATGGTTCAACGGGATTTCTCCCAAGAAGGCATTGTCTTTGAGAAGATTTTAAAATTTGATAAAATAATTAGTAGCGTTGTAACGACCATAAATTTAATTATTGAATGTGAACCATGTTAGGTATTTACATTACCGCACAGTGATGCGATGTTATTTTGTAGTTGAAATTCTCTCAATTTCATCCAGATCAATCAAAGCAGGGAACATCGGCCAAGAAGAGAACAATTATTGCTCTGTGAAAATTAAACTCATCTCAATTTATTTAAGAAGTTTTCAGGAGGTGGCAAGCTGGAAAAATTGAGCACCATCTCTCATCCGTGTTGATTTGCGTAGGGGCGGGCCAAAGTTCTGATCAACGGATTATTTGCGGAAGGTGCTTTTTGTTTCCCATCGGAATCATCGAATCATTTCCATAACTCGGAAAGAAAGAAAAATAACCAGGCCAACGGACCAGCACCCCATACTAAGGATAAACATAAGCTAAAATGACCCATAATAATTTTTTACCCGCATCTTCGCCGACCGCGGAATCCAGAGCACGTCCCTGTATTTGTGTCTCGGGCGTTGAGAGATAAGCCGGAAAGTGAAATAAAGAACGTGGCGCGGGGGAAAGCCTCGATGTCACATCGGCGGAGTATTGATTTTCGCATGGAAGCTGCTGGCTACGTACTTTTTCCTTTTGACATCAAAAATCGAAGAAAAAAAATTGGGCGTAAATTGACGCATACGGGACCATATCGGCCCTTACTCTTCTATCAACTCGATTGTCGTCATAAATAAATCGAGATCCGAATGAGTACAAACTTCGCGTTGGTCAAGTCGAACGTCGACTCTCATTCATTACTTTTGTGCAGTTTTACGAGTAAGGTGAGACTCGCGTGAAACCAGAACTGTGTTGGGGTAGTGTCAGAAAGTCATTCAAGGAAATAGTGCATGTGTTCTGCAGCTCAAAAGGCAATGAAAACGAACGAGGATTATGCTAAAAAAATTCCAACACCACTTCGAATTGAATTTCATATTTTAGGTTAACAATCCTCCCGTCAAGATTATTTTACATGCAATTATTTTGTATTATAAACCATTGAAAGAGACATGGTTCAAATATTTTGTCAATATTCTGTACAATACCTTGGAGTGAAACCTCATATGCGAACATATTTACTCTGATTTATTCGGCTCGTACACAGCATATACTTGCTCCCTGATTGATATTTCAGACATTTTCCGCATCAAAAATGCATCTATTCACTAAATAATGGAATTTGATTGGCAGATCTGGAACTTGTTCCTGTGGATATATTTCAATTACTGTCTTTGGAATATTTGGTAGCGGTCAGACTACCTGAAGCACATGCACATATGTGACTGGTTAATAAGCTCCATTTCTTTACAGGGATGGGGTAAACCTATACATCTCTATATATAGTACAGTATCTGCATTTTAAGGGGGGTGTGCGAACATTGGAAAAGTCATCTGGAAATGGTCAAGTTTTGCTTCGTAAAAGTTACTTCCATCTCCATACATCTAAAGGATAAAATCATTTGACAATACTGTACTGTACTTTACGACTAAAAAAATCTGTTAAACCAAAAGCTCGAGCTTCATCTCCAGGAAAAAGTACGAAAAATTCAGGAGAAAAGCTGCAAGCGAGTTTTACCTCTGGACCTTTCCGACTTAAAGTTCTGCCGACCATCCCTTTAAGACCCATAGATGTATTCTGTCGAATGACCTGGTTCCAGTAGTAACTTACCGTATGTATTGCTTTCTTTCTGTCGCACTAGGAACGACTTTCGTGGGCGTCCCATGGGAAGAGAAAGGATGCTGCAAGGGCGACCTGGGCAGAGGCAGTCGACTAAATAATTAAGGAAACCATCGGGTTCCGTCGTGACACTGCGTTTCCATCAGGCTCTGGGGGTTCGAGTCGGTTGACACCCCGCGGTTTGTCAAAGACCCGCGGGATCTCTTTTCGGGATACCGCCTCGCAACTAAGTAAAGCCAACATTTCCCAGCCAATGTTGCCGTTTATCAAGGGAAACCCATTTTTTCCTATTTATGACTCAGTTCATTTAAAGTCATTCGTCAAAAATGAGGCATCTCTATCAAAGATGCGAGTCCGTATTTTAAGCACCCGGGTAGTGGCACATTTTTCGGAAATCATATGATATATTTTCATATCATATCTTTTCAATCAACCAGTAATGAAGGGGACAATAAAATGGCTTCAGAAGTGGATGACTTTTTGGTCTCGCTTTCTCATGGCGCTGGAAAAGTCGGATGCCATCTATTCCGAGGAATCACGCAAAACTTACTTTTATGCTTTAAATGATCATGGAAAATACTTCCCATGTTCAACTGAAAAATTGCACTTCCCACGGAAACCAGAAAACTCCCGCATCATGAGCGTCGAAGAAGCAGACTTTGTTTTTGAAATTTAGAAACCGTGTTAAATTTTTAGAAAACTTGTCACGTAATGCCCAAACGGAGAAATTATCGTAAAATTGCCACCCTGTTCTAGTTTGAATACATTAACGTGTGGTGCTAATTTTTTAAATAAAAATTGAGATTGCGTTTTTCCCCTCCCAATCACTTAAATTTTATTTATTTCATGCATCTTCATATTGCTTGCGGCACTGTAACTAATTGCTCCTTTATATGCTGTCGTAAAATACAGTATCACCAAAATTAAAGTTGAAAAAAGTATCGGCTATATAAGTTCATGAGAATTTTTTCTTGAAAGACAAAAACTTTGAGAAACTTCATCTATACTCGAATGAATATAATTATCCATCCTAATTATATTATACAGTACTTAATTTTTTCGTGTTGCATTGTCACGAATGATGCGTGTGCAAAAAAAGTTTCTAGCCAATCACTGCATAATAATTTATGCAGCTCGGCATGCAGTTCCAAATTTTCAAGTGCTCAAATTCGTTCTCACCCCAGAAAAAGTTGAAGAGACAAGAGTAAAAATAAAATAAATTTACGCGGTTAATGAGCATCAGAAACGGATGCGAAAAAAATCCTAAATTTTCTGACGGTACCTGCATTTTTGCACAACTTACGCCACCGGCGTTAGGGCGGTTTCATTGCTCAATATCCGGCGAGAATAAACCCCTTGGACAATGCTCCGATCATAGCGTTCCACCTTTTCGTGTTTCGCTTATAGGCGATTGATCGCTTCTTTTTTCGCTCTTTCTTATATACCCATGGATGAGAATCTCTGGTGCCCCCGTGCGTCGATACATGACATCCCGCAATGGATCGCTGTCGGCTCGTGGCATGCGTGTGCGCAACTTGTTGCCCGTCTCTCTCGACGCGAAAGCTACGCGGCCGGTCATTGCAGCGAGTGCGGTAGCCTGAGAAAAACGTGTTGCAGACAGTTGGGCCCGACATCGACACTGCGCACATCTCCTCCTCGCGGGTTTTTAAAATATAAGTCTTGTAGAAGATATAGTTATCTCGAAGTGTCTCTCTGAAATAGTGGCTCCCAATTAACCTGTGCTCCGTGTGCACTTCTCCTGTGCTCCGCTACTGAACGAGTTCAGTTGAATGCAATTTTTGTAATTTCCAGAACCAGGGGCAGCAAATAAAAGACATGGATTAATTTTTCAAAAATGTTGTATGAATTTCGCCACATGCCGCATGTGAACAACTACATAGCACGCTTTTTCTGGACAACCATTCGGATAGAACACAATTGCATAAATGAGAAATTCAGCAGAAAACGGCGATTGCATTCTACACTATTTTGAACTTTTTGAAAAACGTAAGTATGATGAAATTTGCTCGATAGGAGCAATTTAGGCAAACGTGGAATGCAGCACAGTAACTTAATGAACCCCGAGAAATCCCTTGAGAAGAATCTCATCGGAGTTTTTTGTACGTTGAGATTTTTGCTGGCTTTATTTTTCCCTGACGATCTCATACATGTTACTTGATTTCCCGAATATGCCCAATTTTTCAGTCGCTACGACTTCTTTTCGATTAAAGGCTATTTTTGGCTAATGTTTTTGGTGCAAAAAGTGTGGCATCTTTGATGTCGAGTAAATACCAAGCATATATTACATCAGGGATGAAGAACAGCAAGGTGAGGGGTGTTAGTTTATCGAATAGAAAATATTCTAAGGACATAGCGTAAGTATAAAAAACTACCATAATCCATATAAATTAATAGTGCAGAGGTTTTTTGAGGTAGAAAATGTGTATACTCTATTTGCCTGAAGATCTTCGGATCCTCGAAAAGAAATCAAGGAAGCTCGGTTGAGCATATTCTGGTGAGAAACTTCGCATTTTTACGCTTACAGACCCTCCGATGAACGAATCGGATACTGAGTGACTGGTGAAACGTCCCCTTAATAGTGGTCTTCATTCATGAATAATCATGACATACCTGAGATTGGACGCAAATTTTCTCTGAATCAATTTTTTCTTCGCGGAAGGCGAGCGGGCCAGACATTTGGAAGCTATCGAAATGGTTTCAGCTTTCAATATTGATCAGGGCCTTTTTTTCAAAATGAACCTTCCGTTAGCAGCTTTGCACGACTACACGTAGCCGAGGCAAAAGACGGGAGTTTTTTTTTCACTGCATTTCATCCCAGTTTGATGAGGACTGGGATGACATTGTCAATCAGAGCTTTGATCGCCGATTGGAGTCATGATTCGCGCTGCTGATTCATAACTCGGTTTTACGTCGATCCTCCGTCAAAGAAATCAGCCGCACCACGACGAACGCGTCTCAAAATGTTCCCGCGATCGCTGTCGTCACCGTGGATGCGGCAAGGTCAACACCTTTTCCTCTTCCTTGCCGTCGTTGTGTGCTCAGTGTCGATTTTGCGCGACGCCGAGTCTTGGTCCTCATTGTGAAGTTTGAGATCAAATTTAAGAGTTCGTAGTCTATGATCATTAATTTCCGACAATAATTTCCTCGACTGGCCCTGCGTGATTGTTGGGTCGTAGGCAAATAACTCGGTCATATTTTGTATAACAATCGAGTGAATATGGAAGTCGAAGCTCGTGTTTTTATATGCGATTGCTCCCCGTCACATAATTAGAACAAACATTGGTTATTTGTTCTCGATCATGAGGGTGACAGCAATGTCAATTTTTATGTTCCAGTTGAGGTAATTCCCGTGCTACTAGACCCAATAACATGTGAATACTTCGGTGAGTTATGAACTTATATAACCATGAACTTCGGGTTAAAAAGGTTCGCCTTAAATAACAGAAAAAGTCTGACAAGATCCTGGCACATTCGGAATTTCGTAAACGAGTGGGATTTTTGGATTTTTTCGAGGGGATAATCTCTTCACGATTAATCCCTAAAAATGTAAGAGACGATGCACATAAATGGTTCGTTTTCCCGAGGATTCACACTTTATTTCTCACATTCCTCCCATATTTCGGCTGGAAATAATCGCTGTCATGTGTTGGCCCTTCTTTCACATGAACCCTGTCTTATTACGATGCAATTTTCAAAGTTATTGCACATAGCTCCTGAAAATATTCCCTGACTCCCAAGGGCGTGCGTCACCATGAAGTGTATTTGACCCATACACATTGTGGAAACGAATTCAAACAGCGCCTAAATAGTTCATTCAACCCAAAAGTGCGAAGGATCTCCCCGAATTCTAGAGCATGCGTTTGAAAATTGTAAATCATTACGCATCTCCGATTTGATTAGAAATATTTATGATCAATCAAATAATTTTCCAGGGTATCAGTGAGTAAAACGAGGAAAACGAAACGTAGGACGAAGGTGTCGGGCGGTTTCAGTCGGGCACGCGTCACACTCGAAAGGCATGGCAATCGTCACTGATCCAAGGTGGCAAAACAAGGATTTGCCTGAGCAAAGCTTTGATTACAATTTCAAGCTGCTCATTATCGGCAACAGCAGTGTCGGGAAAACGTCGTTTCTTTTCCGGTACGCGGACGACTCCTTCACTTCGGCGTTCGTGTCCACGGTCGGCATCGACTTCAAAGTCAAAATGGTGTACCGGAATGACAAAAGAGTCAAGCTGCAAATCTGGGTGAGTGGGTTGTTCATTGCCGACATCTTCTCGGGGATGTTCGTGGCGCCGAACTGCAGCCCGACGTTGGTTCCGCTAGTAACTCGTGTTATTTCGACTGTAAGCTAGATACCTGCTGTTGGAAATGTGGCACACATTAACCGGATAGTCGCGCAATCCAGTTGGCGACGCTGCAAGGGCGTCAAGCGAACCGACTAATGTACAGTAGTTCAATAGTCCTGCCACCTTTCCAGTCTGTCAGGCAGCTGTTTCCGTTTTTTTTTCCAACGGAATGTGAGAAGCTTTTTATTGGAAGAGAATCACCTGGTGGTTCATAACCGTATCTGACTCATGTGTTTTTGACAGGAAGTCTGATGAGTGCTTAATTTCCAGGACGGGAATTCATCCCATCGATTTCTTCATAATAATAATAAGTCAGAAATCTCGAGAATGGCTTGACAAAATATACGAGTAAAATAAAATTAAATCCGAAATGCGTGTTAGTCGTACGCGTAAATTGAAAATCTGCAGAAATTCTTTCAATGCATTCCTCCAAAACCACGATTTCTGTGAATGGCACTTGGAAAATCTTTGGTTTGCAATCGGGGTACCCCTGCAATCGGCCAGTGTAGCGCACATATCTTAAATATCTACAATCAAAGTAATAGACGGTATTGCTGACAACTGCCTAGAAAATCTGGAACCGTCCAAATTGTTTGCCGAGAACCGAAAAAAGCAACGTGCGGAATTCAAATTCATCCTCTCGTGATGTTTCTGAGCGAAATTTACCTTGAGAGTTTTATAAGATGAAGGCAAATGAAATTACGGTTCGTATCGTAACTTGATTCGAGTAGCGTAAGTAGACCCCAAATCCGCACTAATAAAAAGCTTCACATCGAATCCCGGATGATAATGAAAGTATTTGCACATGTTTAGATTGGAATTGTAAGAGTACGGTTGCGAACATAGTGTCCAAAACTTTTCAAAGGCACTCCACAAATCAGCAAGATGAAATTGCATTCACAATTTAGAGTGGTGGGAATGAAAATCCGAATGTTGAATTAGCTGAATGACCTTGATCTTTCTTTCCAATGCTGATGTGCCAGACTCACTATAGGATTCAGTTAATGTAACAGCCGAACTGGAAATTAACGTTCCGGAAATGTGTATTCCTGATCTCTTCTTTCTTCTTTTTTCTATCTGAAACTTCTGAAAGAATCGTTCTGGCTCTTGCCTTTTTACCGGTTATTCAGCGTAACATAATGTGGAATATTGGCAGACTCCATGTTCACAAATTCACAGCACACCCGATTAACTATTGGACAAGATTTTAACTGTGTAAAGACGTTTTACTCGTCTTAATTCATTGTTTCCTCACCACCTTAATCTCGTTTTTCTTTCACGGGTTGATTTTTTTCTGCTCAACTCCATTCAATTTCAATTTTTACGAGGCTGGAAAAAAAGAGAGTGAAATCAGCGGAATAATGCTGATCATGACATGGATTCATTCAATTCAGCGACAAGCTGAGAAGAATAAACACAGCAGAACAAGAGCTCTATTTTTTTGGTCTAACATATCTCTCTTAAAATGCCCATTTATGAAAGTAGTTTTTAAACTGCTTTCAGTTTTATAACTCCAGGAAACCTTTGGAAAAGCTGATGAAGTGGGAATGGTCATCGAGGTCATCCAGCATGTTTTGATCAAGTAGGGTTTTCTTCGCGTTATTGCGATACGAATTTGGAAGTTACGAAAAAGGAATACGTTTGCAAACGTGTTTCTTAAATCCAGACCTCCTATTCATGTCGTTGTTTACATCTCATTGATTTTTTTTTATTTTTCCAACATCAGGACACAGCAGGTCAGGAGCGATACAGGACCATAACGACGGCTTATTACCGTGGAGCCATGGGCTTCCTCTTAATGTATGACATTACAAACGAAGAGTCTTTCAGCAGCGTTATGGACTGGTGAGAGGAATACAATTCAGTATGGTATACACTTCACATTAAGACTTTTTGAATAAACATTTATAAAGTAATGGTCACTGCGTGAAGTTATCAACTTGCTTTTACGTTTTCTACTGGACAAATTACGTGAGCATGCATCGAAAATGACTCTATATCGTGATTTTCAGATTCCTTCGGAATTTCACACTCGAGACCTATAAATTTTCTGTTTCGCAGATTCTCGGCAATCGAGTGTTCAGCAAAATGTCGTTTTAGATTTGAAATAAATCCGAATTTTTCAATAATGGTCTGCAAAGACAAGGTTAAATATTGGAATGTTCAGTGTCTCTACGTCATTTGACTAATCGCCAAAATCCTGTGGATATGGCCAACATCATAATTCACATTTCCACCTTCAAACTTTTTCAATTCACTCATAGGAATTTTAATCTGTTTATAAACGTTGCCGGATACGTTGCTTGGCAGGGTAACCCAGATCAAGTGCTACTCGTGGGATTACGCGCAGGTTATCCTAGTCGGAAACAAATGTGACATGGAGAACGAGAGGATCGTATCGAGTGAGAAGGGAAGGCAGCTTGCCGAACAACTTGGAGTCGAATTTTTCGAAACGTCTGCCAAGGAAAATATAAATGTGAAGGTGAGTACAGTACCGCAATACTTTTTGCATTACGAGGCATGTTTCGTGACAAACCTCTCGAGGGATTCATAGCTCTATATTCAGGCCACTGACCAAAAGTCGAACTCTACATTCACGATTCTTCCTGCTCGCACCTTTGCGAGAACCATAGCGAATAGATGTCATTCTTGTCGCATGCAAAGCACGCCGAATAATATTTTCAATTCAAATACAGTGTATTTTGGATTTCTGCGTTCAGTGAGTCAAAGGATTAACATGACCAGTGTACATTATTAGCAACTGGTATGGACTGAATACAAATAAGTATGAATCGTCTGAACAAAACTATGAACTTGCGGAAAAATTACACCTGACAAACTCGCTGTGAAAAGAGGGTAACATGACTGAATGCAATGTCGGAACTGTTGAAGGTTTAATTTTTGGGAAATTGAACGTAAAATGAAATTCATTGGTTCCATACAAAATTTATTTAGTTCATACTAAACATTCCAGATGGAAGCATATACGCAGGATTGCCTGAAGATGAAACTAACCAAAATAATGTATGATCAAGTTTAAATTTTGTTCAAGTCATAAAACACGTATGAAAAGGTTAAAGGAATGCATGAATCCAATGATAGTGAATGAAACACTTTAAAAAATGAATGAGCCCATTGAAACCATTATTCAAATCGGTAAAGGACTGAATTCATTCAAAAATGGATATACCCAATAATGATGAATGAAACCTTTAAACCATGAATGAATTCAATCAAAAGAGATATGAATACTATATTAATGAATTGAAACCATTCAAATCTTGGAAAAATCCAATTATATTGAATGAAGCTATTCAAAATATGAATAAATTCATTCAAAATATTGAAGAATTCATTCAAAATATTGAAGAATTCATTCAAAATATTGAAGAATTCATTCAAAATATTGAAGAATTCATTCAAAACATGGAAAAGTCCAATAATAATGAATGTAATACATTCAAAAAAGGATAAACCCAATAATGATGAATGAAACCATTCAAACCATGAATAAATTCATTCAAAAGATAGATGAATAATATATTAATGAATTGAAACCATTCAAATATTGAACAAATCCAATTATAATGAATAAAGCTATTCAAAATATGAATAAATTCATTCAAAATATGGAAGAATTCATTCAAAACATGAAAAAATCCAAAAATAATGAATGTAATCCATTCGAAAAAGGATAAACCCAATAATAATGAATGAAACCATTCAAACCAAGAATAAAATCATTCAAAAGATAGATGAATACTATATCAATGAATTGAAACTATTGGAATCTTGGACAAATCCAATGTTAATGAATGAAGCTATTCAAAATATGTATAAATTCATTCAAAATATGGATGAATTCATTCAAAATATGGATGAATTCATTCAAAACATAGATGATTTCATTTAAAACATGGAAAAATTCAATAATAATGAATGTAATCCATTCAAAAAAGGATAAACCCACTTATAATGAATGAAACCATTCAAACCATGAATAAATTCATTCAAAAGATAGATGAATAATATATTAATGAATTGAGACCATTGGAATCTTGAACAAATCCAATTATAATGAATAAAGCTATTCAAAATATGAATAAATTCATTCAAAATCTTGAAAAATTCATTCAAAACATGGAAAAGTCCAATAATAATGAATGTAATACATTCAAAAAAAGGATAAACCCAATAGTAATGAATGAAACCATTCAAACCACGAATGAATTCATTCAAAAGATAGATGAATACTAGATAAATGAATTGAGACCATTGGAATCTTTGATCCAATTATAATGAATAAAGCTATTCAAAATATGAATAAATTCATTCAAAATATGGAAGAATTCATTCAAAATATGGAAGAATTCATTCAAAACATGGAAAAATCCAATAATAATGAATTTAATCCATTCAAAAAGGATGAACCCAATAAAAATGAATGATACCATTCAAAACATGAATGAATTCATTCAAAAGATGGATGAAATCAATAATAATGAATAAATCCATTCTGAACATAAATGAATCCATTCTGAACATGAATTAATCCATTCCGAACATAAATGAATCCATTCCAAACATGAATGAATTCATTAAAAACATGGATACATACCTTCGCAGCCTGAGATCCAGTTCAATCATAAATGATTCAATTTTTCTCGCATGAAAAACTACATTTTTGGCAAGGGCTAGTTGATTAACACACGTATACTGGAATAAATGTCTAAACATGTTGCGGATTTGAATGGCTTCGCGTCATTTTCTAATGATATCATAGCTGATGGCTTACTTGAAATTGCCCACAATTTTTTTGTAGATTTTCATGCATCAAGTATATATCGTTGGATTGACTGAACTAATTTCCAAGTACGAGTACACCGAGATCTTCCCGAGAATCATAATTTGATAAGTGCAGTATTTCTTCGACGGAATAGAGCCTGCTTCTGTTTGTCTTTCTGGGGGCAAAATGTGCCTCGCATGTCCAGGACGACGCATGGGATGCATCCGAAAGGTACACCCACGGGTACCATTCGACGCCTTTGGGTGCAGCTTGATTAAATCCAGCGTTCATTGACAAAGAATTCTCCGTTCGCGCATGATTTTATTTCTGTTTCGGCTTTAGTGCGGTATTGATTATCCTGAAAAGCAGTAACTCCAGAAAGGTACTCTCTCCTCTCACCTGGAGCAATTCAAAAATCAAACAGAAGATAAGAACTTATTGCAGCTTATTATATCGTACCACAATGCATGCTTCATAAATAAGACCAATGTTCGATCTTTATAAATACTTATTGTGTTGGTTTTAAACGATGAGATGAAATTATGCTAATCACATTTTATTTTTTAGGCAGTTTTTGAACGCTTGGTGGACGTGATTTGCATCAAGATGTCGGAAAGCTTAGATAGTGATGGCGGAATGATCGGGAAGTTCAGGGGGGCCGTTTTGACGGAAGACACCGATGCGAAATCGTCTGATTCCAAATGCTGCTAGGCGAACCTGCGATGAACAGGGAACATTGAAGGCGATCACAAAACGCGTGTTCTCCAGTACGGTATTGAATTTTTTGTTGGTGCTGGGCAATGCTGAGTGCAGTCCCAAAAACCGTCATCAAGAATGTTCAGTCAGTGGCATCCCGAGGAACCAAATTTGATCGTAACAGCATTACAATTTATAAAACGCTATTCCAGCAGTGTTTCAGATTTTGGCCATTTTTGATTTTTTTTAAAGCGGATCACGTTTTTCGTGCCGAATGACAAAAATGAATTATTCGCGAATTTTAAAAAACTTTTAGAGGGCGAAATCCGGTGACGACACGGGCCTGTATATGATGAGAAATAATTGCACGAAGGTTTTTGGTTCGGAAAAGAGAAAAAGCTTAGGTTACAAGCCATTATAAGTTCCGATGAAATCGGATACATTTTATCGAAATGTGTTCATCGATTTTCGAAGCTCTCGAAGGTCATACACTCCGTCTAGCAGGATGTGAACAGTAAACTCTGCGGTAGAACATGACCATTTCCCAAAGTTGAGAGAGAAAATATATACTGAATTTCGAAACATTCGAATGAAAGGAATTTGCGAAAGAATGGCACAAACGGAAGGACGACTATGCATTATTAAATGATTTTTATTAATTCTTTGAATACTGATTTGAGATCGAAAAGTGTCAGAGCATTATATGCTTCAGTTCAAAATGTATTATTCCCATTATAATCTATTTGGAACGATTTTAAATGCGGTTGCGTCTGTGTGGACCTTTCAATATCATCCTCATACTGCGTGTTATTTTCGTGATTTTGTTTTTATTTTCAGATTGCACATCGGTCTCGATAGAATTCGAAACGCGTAAATGTCGATCCGCTTATTCCAGGTATTCACAGCTGTTGTGCGGAGAAATCTTAAATGTTGGAGTCCAAAAAACGCACCAGATGAGCGTTGCTAAATGTACATACGCATTGTTTGTGCTCAAATGTTAATTCATCTTCCGACTGACATAACACTGCGTAAATGCAGGTTGGAGTAGGGCGGAGAGAGTAACATCCTGGATGAGAATTCTAGTCAACTTTTGAACCAATCGTCGCTGACACGCCGCAGGCGAAGATCAGTTTGAGATTGGTTTTGCGTCGTTCGCATTCCTCCCGGTTAACCTCAGGAACCCGCATTCCTTTAAAATGCGACCAAACTTTTTCGATTGTTTGCTCTCGGTCGAGTGTTACTGCATTGCCTGTATAGTTTTTCTGACTTTTTCTGCTGTGTGAAATATCGTTCGAATATACCTGTTATGCTGTTGGTGTTTTCACCTTCCCGACGAAGTTTCGTATCTCAATCGACCCGAAGAACCCGAATAGTGCAGCGGTAATCCTGGTTATTTTGAATAATCGGTTACCTTGCACGATCTGCGAAAACCAAAGGTGCTCAGTTTTTTCTATTTTATTACACGGAAAAATGCCGAAGTTTAGCCGAGGAGTCAACATTTTGACCAATAAAAATTTATTTTCTGAGTCGCTTTCGCCGATGAAACAGCGACATCTCTTTTATTTTCAATAAGTTCTGCTTTCAAGTTTTCTAAGAAGGGTATCGCTTCATTTTGTTGACGTTCGGCAGCTGGAGTTAAATAACGTGGGAATCGAAATGTTGGCATGCGATGCTTTAATAAAAGCGATAAACTTGATCCTTGAAGTCCCACCTTTTCAAGAACGCCTGTTGAATTTTAGGAAGGGCCGAATGCGGTATAGCTCAAGTTCGGAAGTTTTTTTCTTGGAAATGAGAACGCCCAGATGAAATTTAGATTCGATGGCTTTGAATTGGAATGCTTCGCAATGATCCGCGTAAAATGAATTGATGAACAAATCCTATGAGTTCGGCTACCAACAGTCAATAAGATGTTCAGTGATTCGATACCCGAAAACGTTTGAGTAGGCGTTCATAATTATTCGCATTTTGCTTCAAAAACATATCAGGAGGAGCAAATAAGGATCGCTAAATTTCATTCCTATGAATTTCTGGGCATCTGAAAATATAAGTCGGCATTAAAATATATACAAAAATATATGCAAAATACTGTATACTCTCGCGATAAATCAGACTAATTGTTTACTATTAGGGGCGATAGTCACGAATGGACACAGGAACATGAATTAGGGTTCTCAATGAAGTGCACAATGGTTGGTTCATCGGTTTTGGAATTACGCTTTTTTTGCTGCGGTCTGGTTCGTTTGATCAAGCCACGCGGTAACTGCGCATTTATAATCTAAAACCCTGAGTGAATTCAATCAAAGTTTCTGACAGTCTCCTCATTTATTCGACAGTGGTTGGCAGGATTCTGTCCGGGAGAATTATGTACCACAAACCGCTTTCCAAGAAAGATTTAACGAAAATAAAAGACATTCCTCGAAAATTTCGTTCTGAAGAACGAAAAACACCCTGCTATTATGGGGCGCATGAATGCATCCGAGATCTGATGCATGCGCCTGAGCTGTCAATCAGTTCCGAGAACTATTTTAAAATCAATCAAGCCTAACAGTTATGGAACTCGCCCGATCGTCGACCGTAATCGTTCACTGTCGCAGGTTTAATGCGAATTCGACTTATTCCGACGAACGAACCGACAAGGGATCGACAACAAGTTTCTTTTTTCATATTCTTCTAATGCTTCAAGAATTAATTCAGAGCCTTTCGCAATTCAATTTTCCTCGTATCCAACCGGTATATGGCATCTATATAGGCCCGTAGTTCATCATATGGCGTACTTCAGTCGTCGATGTCGTTTTTTGAGATTATTCGACTCAATTTCCATAGTGCATCATCATTAAAGGCCTTGGTTTCGTGATGTCCGGCCTGGAGGATGACGAACCACTTTTAGGAACACCTTCAAACAGACCTTCAATTCAGTTGGAAAAACATCTCGAAAATCAACGATTCGACTGCAGAGTTTAGTAAATAGCATTTGAAGCAGAAAATCTTTGAAATCACTATACTGCATTTCTAAAGATGCAATTTTAAAATTAAATTGAGCTTATATAATGACAGGCCTCCAAAATCGAATCTACTTGTATCATAATAACAGAAAAACATGACGAAACAGATAATGAGTAATCTTATCGAAACAAAAGTGAACTATAGCGACCTTAGCTACGAGGAGCACCAGCGCATCATTTGCAATTCCCGTTCCCTTCCGTTCGCTGTTGATGTTCGCTGTTTTTATCAGAAAGAGTTCAATCCCCTTTTTTTTCAAGCGAAGTGAATTAAAATTACAGCAGCGGATACTGATGCGCATACCAGTGGTGGTATATGGATACCTCTGCAGACAGTGCACCAGATGTACCTAGTGTAAATATGGACTTCTGAATGAATACGTCGGAGAAAGTGAATGAGCTGGGGCGGAATTGAATTATAATACGAGAGTCTCGTTTATTTTTCATTACGAAGTCAGAAAATTGGCTCAATTTGAGGACACGAAGCTAGAGTAGAAATGAACAAGTTGACTGTGAAATGCATGCAGCGTCGTAAGTGTAATACATGCATCAACTAAGATGGAAATCATAGGTGGAGTCCTGAGAGGAATTTCTCAACCAGGATTGGCATGCGGATACGGCAATGTCTGGAAAACCGTATGACAGAGAAAGAGGTTATTCAAGCGCCTTGAGTTCGAGTATATAGAGTCTTATGATTCGCTTTGTTATGACTGAAGAATTCCTGGAGTGGAAACGCTCAAAAATGCAGCTTGCCTCGTCAAATTGGGATCGGAACCGAGCGCGTCGATTACCAGTTTTGGGAGGTGTTGCGCGAGCGCAACTCCCAAAACCAGCTTTCGACAGCAGGCACCCAGAAAGTCTCGTGTCATCCGCTGCGGCGAAGACCATCCATGCTTTTCGTTCGCCGAGTATTTGTCTCTCTTCTCGATCCATTTTCCCTTGAAGCCTCCTTCTTTCTATCATCTCCGGCGTTCGCTTACCCGAAATATGAAGTGATCGTGGGTTCTAGCAGTTACCGCCTCTCTCGCTGTGGCATCGTCGTGAAATGCGAGGCAGAAACCGTGGCAGTGATTCAGCGACTGAACCGGCGTTCGTCACGCTAACTGTCGGATGATGATGTTCTTGGTTATGTCTTATAACCCCAATTTACCGCTCGTGCGTATTGCTGTCAGTGTAGCGCGATGCTTGCGCGTAAATTAATCCCTACAGTCGGAGTGCATCGGTGCGTATGGTTCTGAGCGGCTTGAGAAGCGCGTTAAACCTTGATTCCAACAATCGGGCATCAACAAATTAATGTCCGCCTATTCTCAATTCCGAAAAAAAACCAGAAATAAGGTTCAAAAATCGAAATTCAAGCTCCGACAATGAATACATTCAGGTGGAGAAAGGCATCTTTCAGCGAACGTCACACGAAGATATCCAATTTCATAATTTCTACTGCACCGGAGATCCCATTGTTTAAAATTCAGTCCATTGTTTTCCGGTCCACTCCGTATACAATTTTTATTCAACCTGACAATCGGCCAGGTTGAATAAAAATATATACAGCAAGTTGAAACTGGATCTTCTGCAATAAAACTTCCTGCACATCTATATGAACACATCAATCAGCAAGTTTCAAGTGTCGTCACTCTTTAGACGTCCCGCTGAGCTGTTACAGAATATGTGCAGAAATCGGCATTTGAAAATTTTCGGGAAGTATGGCATTTTAACGTTTTATCACACTGATATACGTACGGTAACTGCACGCTGAATTTCGACACTAATTGCAAGTATTGTATGCCAATAATGTATAGCTCTGCTTAACGCATCATGGTTACAATGATGACAGCAATTTCGGGCAAGAAATTCTTAGAAACGCCCTGTTTCTTCTGAGGAACACCATCATCATTGATATCACGATCACGTTGTTCCAAGAAGCGGGAACAAATTATCAATCAAGATTTGTTGTTTTTTTTCTTGGCCGAACTCGAAAGTCGAAACTCGAAGCTTCACCCTCCGAAACTTACATCCTTCTTCTAGGATAAATAATTAAACATCTTCGGCTGCGTCATTAGCGCCGCGCAGGGACACAGTGGTGCAACAAGAGGTCATTAAAAGAATGAAGTTCCTTGCTCCATTCTCGTTAATCCTCACACAGCCAATCAGGCTTGGGGACCTGAGGGACATTATTTTCCTCCATGTGTCGTTCATGTTACAGGTAAAATGTAAGTCTATTGTCGTCACGAACTTGGGGCACAACTCGTAAAGGGATTTTTTCGGACAATGACCAGCCTTCGGTGATACATGCTTGAAATTTACCTCGGATTGCGAATTCGGTTGGAAAAGTCGGTTCTCTTTTTCAACCCTTTTGTATCGTACTCTTTTTCAAGGCATTACGGCATTTGCATCTGACCTCCTAGGTTAGCCAAAACTTTAAATGAATTCAAGGTCGCACAAATTTAAAACTTTTAACAAATTTTAACGCCGCATTTTTTTCAACATTCGGATTCCCTATATTGGATTTTCTGAGTCCTGTATTGTCCTCGGAAATGTCTAAAAATACTGCTCTGTTTTTTTTTCTATCCTGATTGTCAGATTTAATTTTCTTTCATTTGTTTAATGTACCAATTTACACCTCGATGAAAAGCCTACCTATACGCTGAGAA